TTATTAAATAGATTATGTTAGTAATGACCATTCTCAATCAAATTATTAATTCTATTAATACAATTTCTATTTTCTTAATCATCCTAAATCTCATAACCATCACAATTATATTTACAATATCCATTTATTAATTCATATCTAGGTTAACATTATTTGCATTTCCCAAATTAACATTTACTACAATTCAATGGACATGAATATTTACACATATAACATCCATCATACTCTACTTGATTACCATCATCACACTCTTCATCACATGTAATAATTAAATCTCCACATTTCTTTTTACTATATTATTTTAATCTCTTTTCATTCATCTAATATTAAGTTTCACAAGTTAAAAATAACCAAGTTAATTTATTTATATATTAATAACATTCTAATGAATCATACAAATATTAGCATTAATTGTGATTTTTATTTTTCTGTGCAATTGGTAATTTCAGATTTAAATTGTTACTATAAGACTAATTTTAAAATTCTAAGTATGAAGTTTTCCATCTCAAACATTATCCAAATTCACATAATAAACAATCTTATTAACATGAGTATTTACATTAATAGCACCCATCATATTGATATGTGTTACCATCATCGCATTCTTCAAAATAAGTTATTATTGAATCACCACATATCGGTATACAATTCTTATTCTATTCATAATATTCCCATCCATCTTAACATTTCAAACATATACCTCTTACACAATTTGAACAACCTATAATACAATCATAAATATTAGCAAAACATCCATCAAATGGTTAAATATTATCATCAAAACAATTATCATATGTTTTAAGAAATAATTAAAAATCTCTAATTCCATAATAAGCAGAATAACTTGATGTATACCTAGTACTAGATTTCTATCTAATTGTTAAAGTAATCTAATTTAGGTTATGCCTATATTAATGAATATTAATCTGACTAGTGATCAAATAATAATAATTTTAATAACTAGAGGTTAGAGATACTTACGTTGCTTTATTTAAAACAAGTACTAACATATCATCAATTAATATTTCAAATTAATGATATAAATTTATAGTTATAATTTTAAATTAAATACTAACAGCATCATGAGGTGTTAGATATATTGTTTTTTTTGAGGACCAATTGAGTAATCTATAAAAATGAAAATCTAGAATAATTTGTAACAATACCTCCTGGATTCACCCAATCGTAATAAAAAACACCATTGTCAGATTACCATCCTTCATTTGAATTAAGATTCAAATATTAAGTAGTAAAATATTCAATATATAATATTTAACTGTAGCATCCATTCTAATTACAAGAATCGCAACCTTCTGGACATTTTTCGATAAATAATTAAATATCTGAAATTCCCCAATATACTTCACCTGATATTAATATTTAAACAGTTGGGCTATAATGAAAAGTATTCAAATCCAGTTAAAAAATTTCATCATTATAAGATGAGCTTCCACAAAGATTATTTAAACTTGAACTATGATAATATTATTAATTATGAATTTAAATATTATCTATATAAACTTTAAATCGATGTCCACCCCAATAGTCTATTCTATAATTATTTCTAAATATTAAACCTCCAAAACAAAAAGCTAAATCTTAATTAATAATGTGGTTGGAGGTTAAATGTTTTTTGAATGAAAGTTCGAGAGTCAAAACAATTAAAACCTCCCATAATCCATTTTGAGTGGCAATATGATTCCCAATTGTTAATATACTAGTTTATATACCAATCTAATATTAAAATCTAGAATATACCTCCGGAGCGGCTATTAAAATAATTTGAGTAAATAAGTGTCTCAGACTAACACTTTATAATAAAAAGTAGTAACAATAGGGTGTTTAATATGTTCATCAGATATTTTGAAATTTTATACAAATTTAATAATACATTTATTGATTTTATTTTACGTATATATAGTAAAGGGTAAATAATGAACATCATAAAAATAATTAAAAGCAGCTCATAAAATGAAATTTGTTAAAAATAATATTAACAAATGTTTAACTTTAAATTTATTTCAATGACTTTTAGTTATCATAAAAATCGACCTTAATAAACAAAAATTAGTTTTTCAAGAAATTAATATACGTTTATTTTAATTTTATTTAATAAAGATAAGAAGCAATAATGTTTTTTTTAGATTATCATTTTATAATTATATTTTTTATTATTATTAATTAAAAAAGTATTCCAGTCAAAATTCATCTAACCAAATACATGCAACCTTTTAAATAATTAAGTTTAGTTCAAACTTATTATAAACTCAATAATTTAATTTAGCTTTATTTAATAATTATATTATATTTTAAATCATGTTTTATTGAGAATAATATTTTGTTAATTAGTCCCAATTTTAAAACTATTTTCATTCAAATAATCATTAAATTAAATCAGAGTTATTAGCTGTTATTTTATTCTATTTTTAATATGTTAATTAATTGCCAAAATATTATCTATTAAAGAAAAAAAAATAAGGTTCAAAATTTATTCAGATCAATATATAAAAATAGACAATGGTTTTTAAATTCAAACTCATGTTATAAACTTGCTTAATAAATCATCTAGTTTATTAGAATATAGATATGAATTCATTATCTGCTTAATCTATCCTATTGCAACATTTAATAATGACATCATAAATCATAAATAATATATAAAATTTTATAGATATTACTCATAGATTTAAATTAAAAATCTATATAATAAATCTTAAAATTAGAACTTATACAATATCTACAAGAAATGAGATATAATAGCATTTTTGTTTTCTTAATATTAAAAAGAACAATCTATTTAAGTAATTTTGACAATATTTTAGCCAATTGTTGTCCGAAATAATGTTTATAGTATGATGAAAGTAGCTCATATTGCAACATTTGTGCTTCAGGCTTTATTTAAGCAATAATAATTGCTATTAATATACAAAACCATGTGCAGATTGTTCAATTAATGGAATCAATTGTAGTATAGCAGACTTATTAAATTTGATGTTAAAATAATTAAAAATTCTGATATTCAAATACTAATGGTACTTGTATTGATACTTAAAATTAAACAACTCCTTCATGTAATTGTGTTGATGGATACATAATGAATACTTCAACATACTTATGCGATTAATGTTAACATCCATGCGCTACATGCTAAACAACAGTAGATTATTGTTTAACATGTGCTGCAACATATACTATAGATTCGAATACTCATACATGTTCATGCTTAACTAGTTAATATGAAGTAAATGTTACACCATAAAAATGTTAAAATTGTACGAGCCCATGTGCAACTAATTGTGGTTCATGTGTAATTGGATTAAATCGAAATCTAAAAACTAACTAATGTGTTTGTGATGATTGATATTATGAAAATACTATTTGTTAACCATGTTAATAACCATGCATTAACTGTACTTCTTTATGAGTATGTACATCATGACAAGATCCAACTCATTAATCAGGATCTTCATGTGAATGGATGTTTAACTTGTATTGATACTAATTAAATAATAAATCCTTCTAAGAATTGTGTTTGTAAATCAGGTGATTATTAAGTTGGCTTAAATTGTTCATAATGTGTAACACCATGTTAAACTTGTCAAATCAATTAGGATCATTTTTAATGTGTACTGAAATTCATTAAACTCAAATCAATAACTTATGTATATGTAATGATGGATATTTTGATGTCAATCATATTTGCTAACAATGCTAATATCCATGCACAAAATGCCAATTATAAAATGATCATTGTCTGGAGTGTTTAGATCCAAATCATGATTTAATCAGTAATAAATGTGTATGTAAATATGGATTTGGCTCTTCAGGAATTAATAATATCAATTGTTCACTCTGTTAATATCCATGTCTTGATTGCTCAAGTAGTGTAAACACTTGTGTCTCTTGCATTGATAATAATAGATTCAAACTTGAAATTAACAAATGTGTATGTAAGTAAGGTTATTTTGATACAGGAACTGATTGTTTATAATGTTCATCATAATGTTCTACTTGTTCAGAATAATCTAATAAATTTTTATCATGTTCTGACCCTAATCATTAATTATAATTAAATGATTGTTATTATAAACCAGGTTATTATACTGATAATTAAAAGAATTGTTTACGATGTTAGCATCCTTATCTAACTTTTAATTAAGATTTTTGCATATCTTGTTAAGATAGATATAATCTTGTTGAAGGATAATGTAAATGTGTAGAAGGGTATTATTATATTGATTTTCATTGTGAATAATGTAATTAGAATTGTAGTAAATGTAACTCATAATCTGAATGTAAATAATTAATGTTTAAAATGTCAAATTCCATGTTTAGAATGTCTTGATATTTAAACTTGTAAAACATGTTCTGACAATTATATTATTGATGATCAAGGAAAATGTACATAATGCATCTAAAATTGTGAATATTGTATTGATTCAACAAATTGTGTTAAGTGTTTTGATGAATTCTATTATCATGATTAAGCATGTATTCCTTGTTCCGATTAATGTTAGACTTGTGTATAAGATAGTAAATTTTTCACATTATGTAAAGATTCAAATCACATATTATAGTTAATCATCTCTCAAATTAATAAATTAAACTTAAGTAATTGAATTAAGTTTCACTTAAAAAGTTAAAATACTAACTGATTTAAGTTTTGAAGAAATTGCATTAATCTCAATTATACCATAAACTCGCATTAATATAAATATATTGAATATAACAAGTCTATCAACTGAATTTGAATATCCACTATATTAAGTTATCGTTGAATTTATAGAACCTGTAGAAGATGCTTATCTATTGATAGAATTTGATTAATCAATTATCAAAAATGAATATGATTTAGATTTAATTAGACATTAGATGTAAATAAAACTTGGAAATCCTTTTATACTTTCATAATAAAACTAACAGAAATTGACATAAATTGTACTTCTCAATTATGTATTCAATGATTAGTATATCTAGATTAGCATTCCTTACTGGAAATGCTATCCTTTTTTTTAATTTAATATACCTTTTATAATCTTTATCCTATATTAGATATTAATTTGAGCATATCATTAAAACCAATTTTGGATCATTTGAAGATTGATGAATTATTAAAATATTGAATGCTAAAGGTTGTTATTTATCAATTTTAGTTTCATTATTTACATATTTATTTTTGTAGACTATTAACAACTTAAAAAATATTATCAATACAAATAAAATTATTTCAGAAAAATAAATAAAACAAATTATACCTTCGTTTTATTTTATTTTACCAAGAAAAAATACAGAGCTTTTGTGCTAAATTTATAAAAGAATATATCTCTTTTGGTTTACCTAAAGTCTATTTTGCTATATTGCATCAAATATTTTTTAGTGCCTTGTTGTAATTTCCAAATTATAGCTTTAATTCTCTATTTATAACATTTAATAGCATCAATGCAATATTTTGTTAAATTTTAATTGTATATATTAGTTTATAATTACTTTCAATAACATAGACTAATATAAAAGATAGGCTAAAATGGAAATATTTTTATTAAGATTCTTAACCTTAATTTTGGGCATTCAATTAAAAATCATTCTAGATTTACAGAATAATGTTTTATATTTTTATGATTGTTGAGGCACTTAATTATCCAGAAATATAATCAATTTTACTCTCTATTTCCTCATTTTTCTATCTATTATACTTAATTAAATTTAGACCTCTAAAATCTAAATATGAAGAAGCTAAACTGATATCAAAAGAGTTTTTTTCTATTCTTATTTCAGGATCATTTTTGATTTATAGCTTTTAACTCAATTATAATTAGTAATTATATTATGGATGGATTCATATTGGACTTTTTACTCTTATGCTAATCTCCAATTTGATCATTGATTTAATAGAATGTATAAATAAAGCAATACAAAAACATAAAAGAAAGTAAGAAAAACTATCAAAAAAAGAAATTTATAATAAAATTAATCATCTTGAATAATTTATTATAATAAACACACATAAGTAATTCAAAAGTTAAGAAGGTAAACCAAAAAATTGAAATAATTATGAAATAAATAGTTTATTAATAAATAAATATGTATATTTATGAATCTTGGTTTAACAGAATGATTATTTTTAGAATTTTATCTTAAATAGCTAAATTAATTAATTCTTATTTTAGAAATATTTAGAATAAGACACTTATTATTTTAAAGACATTTATATAAATTATTTTTATTAATCATAAGCTGTCGTAAATATTTATTAGTTGCCTCCTAATCTTAAATTATTATCTAACATTTTTTTACAGGAATTCCATACAAAGTATATATTATTTGAGTTACTAATATAATTCAAAAATTAACTAATATTTTTGAATGAGACAAATATAGTGAATATATTTCTAATTTGATCTTTTTTGCATTCGTTTAATTCCTATATTGTTAAGGAGCTGTAAATTTTTTTATTTTAAAATCCTCTTTCTTAAACTAATTAATATTTTATCATTAATTATCATGATACCTAGTTCATTTAAAAAAACAAAAATTAAATTACAATTACAAAAAATATTTACTCTATTTTGTCTTAAAAATATTAGGAATTATAATTTCATTTTAATTTTAGATTTATTAATAGAAAACATCTTTTAATTTTAATTTTAAGTTTTAGTTAAAGAAATTCATCTAAATAAATCAATGCACTTTAAACTTCTAACTATAATTATCTTATAGTAATTAAAAAATAGAAAAATCTACTCAAATTTTCTATAGTCTAGTAATTCACATAATTAATGCTTAATCGATGTTGAATTAAATATAAAAAAATAAAAAATTAAATTAATGAAAATAAATGCTTCTGGATACACCTTTGGTAAAAAAGACCCATTTAGGCTTCTTAATTGCAGTTAAGGGCTTCAAAGATTACCAGATTCAGAAACCCATGGAAGAAGGAGCCCGAATAGCTTCTCCAGGTTTGGGTTTGGGTTTGGGTTTGGGGTTGGGTTTGGGTTTGGGGTTGGGGTTG